CCCTTGGAAAGACCGGCCTCGGTGTAAACAAAGACGTCACACGGAGACGATGAATCGGCCACTGCCTTTTCCTCCAAGGCAAAAGAACCAGTGATTATCCCTCTGGAGAACGACGGCCAGTGCGATGCTATGGTGTCCGACCTGGGAAACCTTTCGGTGGAGTCGCCATAGACGTTTAATCGTGGGCGTGAAGAGCGAGTTGTTAGCGCTCGGGTGGGGAAGTTGTGGTGGTCTATTTTTGGGCTCTCAGCTGGTCTTCTAGGTCTCCCAAGTCTTATCTTGGGCCTCAGTTGGTCCCACAGAGTCGAAGGAGGCTGAGGCTGGCAGCTGGGATGCCCCGAGACTCGAATTGGCTGTGTGTGTGTGTCGTTTAGTGTGAGTGTGTGCCCGAGCCTACGTCACCCAGGGGTTCCTCGCCCCTCGCCCCGAAGAGCTCCTCCACCTGATACGTTTCCACCATCAACAGTTTACCCAAGGCAGTGCAGGGAGCGAAGATGGATGATGACATGGAAGATGAAATCATCTATGAATTGTTCACAGCTCATGCACACATCTTGTGGAGGTATCTGGGTGTGACTACAGCAGGTTTGATTGAGCTTGTTATCCCTGGCCCAGGAGAGAGTATGAAGATGAAGATCTTCCAGCCAGGACCATTCATGTTCCTCATTTTCCTGGTGATTGTGGCCAGTGTGGTGCTCCAGAGCAGCAGCCATCTCTTGAGGCAGTGGATGGTTCGTCTGTGCTACGTTTTGGGGCTCAACTCAGTCACCGACTCAGGCCTCAAGAACTTTGGGGGCATAGAGCTTGTGACAGGTTCAATTGGCTCGGATAATGTCTCTTGGGAATTTAAGGATGGCATTGTAGGAGTCTACAGCATGCAAGGGCGAAGAGGCAACATGGAAGACAGGTTTAGTGTGATCCAAGATGAAGATGTTGGGGAAAAGAAAATGTCTTTCTTTGGAGTTTTTGATGGCCATGGAGGTCAGGTGAGTACATTAGAAAAACACTTTTAATTATAAGGCTTTTGTTGGAAATATTAGGCATAACTAATTACACCATAAAGTTGGTTAATGTTTAGAAGACACATAAGTAATTGTTGAAGACTGCAACACATCCTTGCAGAGACTGTGTTTCTGCAGGAAATCCAATGATTTCATCAAATTTCGGCATTGTTTCTATAGCAAATGAATCGTTCAGGAGATCGAGTACCATTTCTCCATCGACAATCTTGATTTGATAGTCCCATTAGCAGGGGAGGGCATGAAGTATAACGGAAATTATGGGGGTAAAACAGGCTTAGATAAGAAGATTAGAGATTAAAATGTGTAAAACTAGCACAAAAAATGCTTAAAATCGGCCAATGAAACTACGAATGTAACCTCCATCTTTGAAATTCTATGGACTGACGTGCCCAACCCACTTTTCGGCAAAATTCTATGGGAATTCACATGTTCTAAACCCCACCCAAAAACGTATTGACCAATAAACCAACCTAATATATCAATATAGATTGCCGTAACTAGGCATACCCTTCGGGTACTGCCCGAGGGGATGGTTGATAGGGGCAAGCCCCCCCAACACCCCCCGGGACACATTCTCTCCACCTCGGTATGCATGGCAGGATAGAGCTGCATTCACACCGTAAAATAATAAGCCAAATACCTTGATATCTGCAACTGTCAAACTTTCATTTGCTTCCTTCTACCCTCTGGATTGCTTCAATTTTAATTACTTTTTATGGCATTTGGAGCTCTTGGTGGGCCCACATATTAAACTGGGATCATTACTGAAGTCTATTTTATCTTTGTCACTGTATAGTCTTAAGAATAACACAGAATGAACACAATACTGGAAGCGCAACATTTCTTACCGGTGTTCCATCTCGAAATGAGCGGGCCGGCCAGGTATCAACCTGGCAGCAGGCGAAAGGAAGTGTGAAATGCAGAATGCGCACGAATCTAAATAGGGCTATAAAACAGTCTTAAAACACATAAATGAAGTATAAGGACATTAATAAAACACTTTAAGAGTATGAATGTGTAACATTATACACTGATAAGTAGCCAAATATTGTTTTGACATGCGCGTAGTAATACTGGAACTACTTAGGGCATCGCATTAAGGAGTTATGCGTTCAGTCTTGTGTTTTTCTTCGTAAGGTAAACAAGCTGATTGACTTAGGATTTGAAAGGCATGCATACATTATATTTTCGTCATCTGCATCTTATATCATATCCTATCCCACTCTAATTCTTTCGCTCTATAAGATGGCAGTGCCCAATTTGCTCTATCTACGCGCGTCGGTCTCTTCCATCTCTATCAACACTCATTTACTGCTAGCCTTCTGCTGATTGGCATGGCCTCCATGTGTTGGCACTCTAGCAAAGAAAGAAAAAATGGTATAATCTGCCAAAATAGAGCTTGTAGACCTCCATGACAGTTTATCTTAAAATAAGGAACAAGTCTTAATTAAATTTTGACAGTGTGTGGTTGTTGGAGGCTGGTTGCCCCGTTCCTCCCCATAAAGTGCAAAGTCTACAGCAATTGCTGAACAATGCGCCATTATTGCATTGTACTTCAGACTGTAGGCCCTTTGTCACAAAATGCAGCAAGTTTTCCAGTGATCACATGTCAAAAGTAAATGCCAGTGGTTCTTAATCTGAGAGGGAATTTCATTCATAGATGCAAGGGGTGCATGGAGGGAAGGACAAATTCCTAGAGAGCCATGGTAGTAAACAGATTAAGTACCATTGGTATTTGCTATTATTTGTGAATTTTTTTTCATGAAATGAAAGTTTTGACTACTTTGTGTGGTTGCAGGGCCAAATTTGTCTTACTAGAAGAAAACATCCAAATACTGTTTTTTCATTTGAACTCTGGGAAGTTAATGGGTAAGATTAGTGAACAAAGTTTAGATTTTGTGAGAGAAGTTAGATTCACGAGAATTGAACAAATAATTTCAGATTGGAATAACTTCAGGTGTTGGCTGCTGTGTATACTCGTTTCAATTGTTTTCAGCCAGATTTCGAAGGCTGTTTGTCTGTACAAAGAGGCACAGTATGCACTTCTCAACTCTTCAGTGTATGTGGATGAAAATAGTCTTACAAATCGTCAACCTCCTCTTGGCACCCATTGTCAGGCCAAAAACTAAGTTGTGTACATCTTGACACTTGTCCAGAATGGATTAATAAGGGAAAAAATAAATAAAGGAAATGAAAATGATAGGACTTAATGATATATCCCTCTTCAGAACATGATAGAAAGTTGAGAAACACAATGTAACAATGTATATTAAATCCATAAAAAGGCTATATATGTGTAAACTCTATTTTAGTGTTTATTTGTTTTTTGTTTTTCTCTATATCCTCCAAAGAAACCCTAGTAGATCTATAAATTGCTTTAAACATATTATATTTGGCCTACTTAGGAAGGGTTATTTTTGTGCCATCTCATATAGTCCCTTTTTGTTTATTTTTTAGTATGAATGTATGTTCTTTCTTTTATGTATTATAGTAAAGGAATAATTTTCTTGATCCACATTGGTAATTCCCTTTTGTTAAGATTATATACAGTCTTCCTTTTTACCATTATCATCTTTAGGATGAAAGTGGAAAGGGCATACTTATTTTTAATTGTCACATGTAGGCCTTTGATAGATAATTTCATAGATACCATTAAAAGGGTGGGATGATTAGGTGTATAGTAATTTCCACTAGGTAGGTTTAATTCACCTGATGCTATTATTATAGTAGCAACTGATAATACTTATTTAATTACTATGCTTAGTACCACTACTGCTACAATTTTTTGTCAGTATATTACAGTAGCTACTGAGGATATTTATTTAATTACTATGCTTAGTACCATTAGTGGTACAATTTTTTGTTAGTGTCCTTATCATATAAAAAAATAATTTTTGAATTTAGAAACACTTGACACAAGTTGTGCATAAACAAGCCTATATATTCCAAGCTTTGTTTCATATGTTGTTAGATTAGGCCAATAAGAGGCACTTTATGAAGGACAAAAAGAATAGCACAATTCTTTACCTTTAGAATGTATTGTCTTGTTATATATATATATAGGTCACAAGAGTCACATGTTCTTGATTTTTGTTCTTTGCTCTTATGTATGTTGCATCAGCCTTCTAACTGAATGGAAAGGAATATCACAGCATTATCACAGATACCAAAATGGAAAATCATTCTGGCCCATACATTTGTTTTTGGCCTGTTGTGTGATGACAGTTTTTTGAGTTTTACGGTTGTTATGCCATTTTCTGGCTAATGTGTACAGTTTGCTGAGAAAGAAGAGAAGATGAGATGCTTGCACAGTAACAAAGACAAAGCTACATGAGAGGCATAACACAGAGGGAAAAACATAAATCATAAAGCAAAACATGGCATCTGTCCAAGGTTGTCATGGGGAGGACCTTGGTTTGAATGCCATGTCCTTTAAGCATCATCAATTACATGTTGACATGCATAGGGTTGGTATCTCTTTCTCTCTTTCTCTCTCTCTCTCTTTCTCTCTTTCTCTCTTTCTCTCTTTCTCTCTTTCTCTCTTTCTCTCTTTCTCTCTTTCTCTCTTTCTCTCTTTCTCTCTTTCTCTCCTCTCTCTCCTCTCTCTCCTATCTCTCCTCTCTCTCCTATCTCTCCTCTCTCTCCTATCTCTCCTCTCTCTCCTATCTCTCCTCTCTCTCCTAT